TGGCAATGAACAGCCTCATGTCTTCCAGAATGTCATAGATCTTGGTGTGTGGCCCCGGAAAGTATTTCAGGAGGTTGGCGTACATGTCGTAGATCTGCAGGAGACAAGGAAGAAAAGGATCTGTTACAAAAAGAGCTCACATCCGCAGGTCAGTATATAGTCAAAGTGAGTCAAATAAGGTGATCAGTCAATCAGTTAATGAATGCACCATTTCAAGAATAAATCAGCAGACATATTTGCAGAATATAGCCAATATGAGAGGAACTTATATAAGGAAGGATTTTTCTTTACAGGGCCTTTCCCTCCCTACTGGTTGCCACTTGTGTTTTGGACAACAGTTCCCATCCTCCTAAGCCGTGGCAGCTGTCCAACATGTTTGGATGGTACCAGCTTGGAAGAATTGTCTTAGGAAGTAGTAATCTCTGATCCTTCCATTTTGCTGAACAAAGGTGAGGAGCTGTGTAGAATCACCTGAGACCAGCCTGTGCTCATTTCCCGAAAGAGGTCATTTATCATCTTCAAGAGATCCAGGAATTCCTTGTCTTTGTAGTCAAAACGATTGCCAAAGACAATTGAACAGATGACATTGGACACAGCACAACTGAGGAAGAAGATGGGGTTGAAGGGCTTCTCTGGTGCAGAGAGAGCAAGAGAGCAAGAGAGAAGTCAATTGTTGTAGGAACTGCTTAGGCCAAAAAGGTAAATAATTTTCTCCTGATTGTTTTTTTTTTGGGGGGGGGGTCCTCTCTTCCACTGTACTTATTTATTTAGAGAGGAAGGGATCCCTACTCTTTCTGACTCCTCCTTGGGTCAGCAAAGAGGAAGACACACTGTGACACTCTTGTTCCGCCCAAGCTTCTCCTGCACATCTTGATATCTGACCTCAGCATTCCTATAGTGGTTGGTTGGCCCAAGGGCCTTTAAAAAAATTCCACCCCCATTTCCCTCCCCAACCTCACCTTGGGTCTTTTGCAATTCCTCCAGCAGGAACTGGGTCTCCTCTTGAATCCGCTCCTCAATGGATTTTTTCCCCATTCCAAAATTTCTCAGGATGCTCAGGGAGAACCGGCGCAACTGCTTCCAGCGTTCCCCATTGGCAAAGACCACCCCTGATGACAGAGGAGAGCAATGGGCCCTGAGGCCAGGAAAGAGTGGGCAACCTGACCTTCTCCTGCCCCACCAGGCTGGAGCTCTCACCATGTCCTTGGAAGGTCCTTTCCAGGGTGGCATTAGTTTTCCTCCCGGCAAATTCTTCAGCCTTGTCAATCAGGGCCTCCTTCACTGCATCGTGGCCACATAAGACCACAACTGGGCGGTTTCCAAAGTAGACTGTGAACACAGGACCATATTTTTCCCGCAACTGCACAGGAAGAGGAACCAAGGTATGGAGATTCTTAGATCCAGATCTCTGTAGCTAGATGGCCCCATGGAATAAACTCCTTGGAAAGGCCATTGTTCCATCTGAGGTGAATATGGGCCGCCACATTCACCAGCCAACTGCCTCTGAGGGCGAGAAACTGGGAATGGCTTATGTCCTTCCCAGAGACAAAGTGGGCCACTAGATGCTTCTTTCAGCTGCCCCACTCAGGCAACCATAGCATTCCTCTCTCCACATATGTTCTGTACTTTGAAAAGTGCATTGCATACCTGCCTTAGCAGGTAGCTGCCTCACCCAGCTTTGGCTGACTGATTATTTTGATTTATATAGCCACCCATCTCAGATTCATGACTTTGGGTGACTTATAACCATTAAAAGCTAAGCAAGGTCAGCTGGAGGTCCAACTTGGATGGGGAACCGATGGGGTTCCCAGGGCTGTAGGGCAGACTGAGAAGAAGGCAGCCCCTTCCCTAACTTTGTGAGAAACCCGAGGGGCGGCCTTGTCAAGAAGCAAGCCTGACTCTCAGTGCCTTTCCTGTGGAAACACGGAAGGGTTGGGACCCAGCCAAGCCTCCTTTGAACTTTGCTTCCTCAACCAAGTGCATAGAACCAACTGGACCTTTGCCAGTGGGTTATTGCAAGAACACAGTCAGAGGTCCTCTACTGTGGAAACGTGATTCCCTCACGGTTTTAAGCACAGTAGAGAAGGGCTGCTTCTTTTTTGCTTGACCTGAGCCAAGCCACCCAGCTCGCAGGACTGTTTTATAGACACAGTGCAGTTAGTGGCTTAATCGCCTTGTGATTTACACAGATGTTTTGCAGCGTAGCCACTGAAATTGCTGTAACCTACAATCTTAATGCCAGAGCTCCTGCTTCGTTAATGAGTAATTGCCTTGAGGATCCTGTTGTTGGAACAAGAACAGAAATATTAAAGTTTACTAAATAGACATTCATTTACTTATAGCGTAACATACCATGTTGCCAAGCCCTGCCTGTTTGGTCCACAGAAAACTTGCAAATCCCCAATCTCCCACCAAGGCAGAAAAGACCCCCCTTCTAAAGTATTGGAAACAGAGCTTCAGAAATCCTTGAAAATGGCTTGAGTGGATCTATTGGCAATGGTGGCAGCCTCTGGAACCTTCAAATGTGTAGCTTCGGAAAGGAGCTCATTTTCTTCATTGTCAACGTCCCAAACGCGTGCACTATTTAAAAATGGGGGACAGCTACTATAGATTATAGAATCGCTCCCCAAAACAACCTTAATACCCGGACTGCATGTTACACTTTGGGGGGGACTGGAAGTGCTTCCCTCGGCAAGCCGAATCGCATTTACAATGTTCCATGTGGGAAGCAAACCGTTTTACTAGCACCTTCATGCTTCTCCAGTACTGCTTTCGTCTGGAAAAGTGCTCAGTGTCCTGGTCTGTGTGGCTCCCCAACAGGTAGAGCTGTCTGATCAGAAGATGATAGGCAAAACCTGAGATATGATGGCAAACGGGAAACCTTTCCAGAGAGATTTTTTTTTCAGCCTTCACGTAGGTATGAATGCTTAAATGGAAGCCCAAAGAGAAGGAAAGAAGATTCAGCCCGATTTCCTGAAGGATCCTAACTGAAGTGACAGGAAGGTGGACGGTGGAAGGAGATGCCTTGGAATGCTTGAGCTGCAATGACTCAGATCACTCAACTGCTGTGTGGTCTGGAGGAGACAGAGGGCACTTGGTCGAGAAGGCTGAAGAGCCGATGACCCAGGAAGGTGGAATCAGACGAGGGGAGACCGCCAGGTTGCTTGGGAAGCGTTTCTGACCAGCTGCTCAGACCCTGGGGCTTCTCCTGTGACAAGAGGGGTGGGCTTACCTTGAGGAGGGACTGCAGGGTTTTGGATGCCTTGATCTGCAGGAAGTTCCCAATCAGGGGCAGAGGGGTGGGACCAGGAGGCAGCCTGCCCCCGGGAGAAGCCCTTCTCCTGGCAAACAGCAGGGCAAGGCACGAAAGGTAGGCGATCAGAAAGAGGGTGACTGCACCAGCCAGCTCCATTGTGTGACCTCTGCCCACTTTCGCTGGGGTTCTGGGCATTTAACTAGGGCTGGGCTTGATATCACCTTCTGGATTGTGTAAGAGCACCAGGTAAATACATTAAATCGCTAATCTCTGACACAGGTGCCAAATCGGGAAGAAGTGTTTCTTGTAGTGCAGTCATATGACCCAGGATCCCCACTCATGTCTCTGGAGTGCCCGAAGACGTGGGCCATACCTTATCTCCTTGCCTTGCTTTTTTTTCCCCCTGGTGCCCATGGGGCAAGGCTGCCCAAGCCCCAGGAGGGTCCTGGCATTGGGGACCTCCCTCTGGCTTTCCAGTCCAGGTGCTCAGCGGGCCACCAAGACCACCTCACTGCAGACCTCTTTCCCAAAAGCGTTCAGGAGCTGAGCTCGCCAAAGCACTCCACCAGCACCCCGGGAGCCCCTCGCGTTCAGCAGCCCCACCCAGAGACCTGGAGAAAGGGGAGGCAATGGCAGGCCTGGGAAGAATGACCAGGCAGATTCTTCATGCAGTGCCAAGCCCCCAGTGAGATGAAAGAGAGATTTGGCTGGAATGGAAAGATAGTGCTCAGCCTCTGCCTCTCACTGACTGACTGATTGATTGATGTATTTAAAAGGTTTGCAGGACTACCCTTCTTAAAACACAACTCTGGGCAGTTTTCCATAGGGTTCAAGTTTAGGAGAGCAGTTGCACCCGGCCGGGTGGGAAAATCTGCATTGGATGATCATCTACCCCGACTCAGCTGACCCATCTGCAGGGAGAGACAGCTGCTTCCAGGTGTGTGCCAAGCCTTGACTCAGTGATCAGGAGCCCAGGCGCCCACCTTTATGGCAAACCCAGTGGCTCGCACTCCGTGCAGCAGCCTACCCAAAGCTGGGACCCTGCAAATGAGTTTGGGCTGCAGCTCTCAGAACTGGCAGCTGGCGTGGCCTCCGACTGGCCCATGGACTTTGCTGCTGGGTGCCCTGCATGCCAGGATGTTCATCTACAGCAGTGTTGTCCAAACTTGGCCACTTTAAGATGAGTGGACTCAACCATGCTGGCTGGGGAATTCTGGGAGCTGAAGTCCACTCATCTTA